CATTTAGGCATGTTCTCAGCCGGGGCGGTTTCCATTCTCCAATGGATTGCTATATATGGTCGTAGGTTCTCTGCTAGTGATTTGGCTTTTTCTTCTATACGGTAAGAATATTTAATCGGTTTCTTACTAGCCTCTGTGGGAAATAGCAATCTAAAGGAGTGTGCTTTAACAAGCAGGAATTCAGCTGATGTTTGTGTATTATTGATTATAAGTAAATGTCCCTCTTCCATAACTTTTGGCGTGTTTGCCCAACGATTGTGCAAACCGATTGTCGTAGTCGGAACCTCCTCGGGAATCAATAATGGATTGCAGTCACCGAGGCAAGCGGCTTTTCGAAGCTTTGTCCCATTGGTATATCCATCTAATACCCAATTTTGCCTAGTAATTCGTTCCCTATTTATTTCGACATATTTAATGGTGGGGGGTATTTCTCTCTCTCTAGTCCACTTTTTAAAATCGGCTAGTAGTATGAACTTCAGTTGAGGAAATTGCTTGCGAAGCCCATCCATGTCATAATAATAATCAAAGGGATGTGCTAGACATGCGCCAAGACGAGACCCGCCTACATTTGGAAGGACGATCGTGCGATTGAGGCGCAAAGCGAGACCAACAATCGACCTAAAGTGCATCTGTGCCTTTGATTCTTGTTCTCCGTGCTTGTAGGCGAATATAAATTTACATTGCTTGCTTTTACAATATTTCAAGTTTACGAGTTCGTCTTTAGATAGTCCAGGATCTGAATTGTCGTCAGGAGTGGTAGTGTCATCATTAATATCGTCGACATTATCAATAGGCGTTGGCGATTCTGTTGGTAAAATGGTGGTTGTGCGTGTAATCGTTTGTGTGTACTGGCGGTAGACAAAAAAATATAATCTAAATAAGAGAGTTGTTTTGACAGTATAGAAATGGCTTAATGACACTTACTATTATTGGTGTGTCAATTCTCTCGTCGGGTTTGTATTCGCCTTCGCCATACTCGACAAGTGCGTAATTGGTGACATTCCATATAAATGC